TGATTTTTCATCTTCTCATATTTCAAGCTAAAAATCCACTTATTTTGTTTTTTTCTTAAGAGAACTACTATCAAGGTCATTGATTTATAGGAGAGAATTCCTTTCGTCTGGTCCCAATCTAGTTCTCTGCCAAGGTAGACATAATATTTTGATATCATCCCTGTCAAAGTACTTGACATCCTCTTGGACGGTTGGTATGTTTTGTGATCCGTCGACTTTGATTTATTCTACATATCCCTCCAGGAAGTGAATCACCTTTGGGAACTCTCCTTGGCAGTCCTGGTAGTAGGCATGCTGGAGCCTCATCTGAAGGCCCCGAGAGGGAGTAACTCCTTTTTTATAGACCTTTCATCTAGAATAAGATATATTGTGTTTACTCATGTTTGGAATTGACAGAAAGCAAATAAGAAAGAGGGCTGTTAAGCTTGAGATAATGCAAAACTTGGCTGGTAATAACTGGTGACTCTTTAATATGTAGAGCCCTTTTAAAGTCTCTAAATTCATACCCAGGAAAAGTCTGTTTCCAAAGCCAAATAGCCTCCCAGCGAGGCCTCAGCGAGGCCACAGGGAATGAGGGGCAAGTAAGATCCCTCTGGATGGTAGAATCAGGGGTTATGTGATTGTATAACCAAGGAACTCAATGCACTAACAAAGCAAGAATTCTATTCCTGCCCAGCAGGATTTGATATGTGTTAGAGATTAGTGATTAATGTGGTTTTTTTTTCCCATTCTCTCCTTTCCTAAAGAGTAGTTTTCCTTTAATTGTATCTATTCTGTTGTTTCTCTATCATTCTGCATTGTGAAAGGTCGGACAGATAACTTATCTTTTAAAGTTATGGGTTACCAACTGTGAGGAGCAGCCATGGCCAGAGGGAGATGCTGACATCACCAGATGTAGTAACAGGATGAAGCATCTAGGTGGGCCCCCCTGGGGAAGGGATTAATGCATGCCACTTAAAACATATGTGTGGGAACAATGGTGTCATAGATGTTGGAGAGCCAAGGGTATAAACTATTCTTAATTTTCTCAACTGCAGAGGCAAAGAAGCTAAAATACTCATCACCCCATGTTCTCTTGCAGCAAAGGGGGAACCGTGGAACTCAGTTTTGGCCTTTGAGATGTAAGCCCAATTGCTGAGTTGGTATTCTAGAGAAGCCTTCAAAAGGACAAGACAAACCATAATGCTCCTTCAGCCGTTTGCTCTTTTCTTTTTTTTCTGGATTCACTGAGGATACAAGAATTGGAACTTTAGAAACCACATTATAAATGTATGGCATAAAAGCCAATGGCAGAACACCCTTGATCCTTGATGCTACCCCAAAGCGTTTGCCCTTCACTGCCTTTCTGTGGCCTTCTTACTACACGAGTGAAATAAACACTTGTAACATAAGCTATTGTTAGTAGAGTTTTCTTCACTGCCCTTTTTTTTTTTTTTGTCATGTTTACAGAGATACATATTCCTTGCCCAATAACTTTCTTCTATATACCCTGAAGTTGGCAAGAATGTTAACAGCCAAAACTCTTAGCCTAGTGCTGAAGCAATCTGGAAGACAGAATGAATGTTAAAAATTCAAAATAAAAAGGAGGTTTTATTCAATCTTGATTCTCCAGTATCTAGTTCAGTGCCTGGAACATAGTAGGTAATAAAAAATGTTTGCTGACTGATGCTATTTATTATATATTTTTTAAGAAATTAACTTGTAATAACACGATACCTAAAACATGCATTAGAACTTATCAAATGTTTAGTGGCAAATTTGAATTTAATGCATAATAACATTAATACAATAATTAACCTTTATTGAATTCTCAGTATAATCTAGGCACTATGCTCATTTTTTGTGCATTTTAAACAAATTCTTTCAACAATCATATAACCTAAGTATTATTATTAGAGAGTTTCAGAGATATTTAAATAATTTAGCCAAGGTCACATAGGCAGGTGATACCAGAGCCAGGATTCAAGGGCAAGTTTATCTCCCTCCAAGCCTATTCTCTTAACCAGTATATATAGTACTAAAATATTCTAAATCTACTATCCTAAAAGAAACATATCCTTTGATCCTGAAAAACTCTTTTTGGCAGAACAGCAAGTATATAGAAAATATTTGTCTGTGTTAATGGTTATTCATTATTAATCAATTACCATTTTCTAGATGATTTGTTATTTAATTCCTTTTAGTTAACAAATCAGTTGGATTTTTCATATGCACACGTTGAAATAAGTTAGCTAAATAAAGCTATTCACACAGAGAGTTTCATGTTATCTCTAGGTTGCTACTGAGAACCTAGATTATTTGTGGCATTTTTATTTTAAAATCCTGGAGTCATTAAAATGTGACACCACAAACTGCATAGTAGGATATTGATAAGAACAAGGATGTAGGAGGCGATTCAGTAGATACTTAAATTGAAAAAAATATAGTGCAAGTCTCACACACCCTGCAGACTACAGGTTTATATGATAATAAATAATAGTTATCACAAGGACAAAGGAAAAAATGCCATGAAATCCAATAGCTCAGTGAGAAATCTGCTAATACAGGTGGTCAAGCTTGTCCCATTTCATTGTCAAAGGGAGGCTATTTATTTGCTTCTGGATAGTTAAATTACAGTCATTCATTGCTGAAAGTTTTCCAGCAGGCAGATGTGAATCTAAAGCCCCAGTCTTTAGAGTCAAACTTTGTGAGAAAAAGAGAATAAGAATTTATTTGTTTCATAGGCACTACAATTGATAAGGTAAAAATCTTTGAGCAACTACAGAAATAAAACCAACTTTAAACATTCCCCATTGGCATTTCCTAATTGAGTTCCTTGGACATAGGGCCAAAGTGCTGGCTAGAAAGAATAATCATATTAGAAACTCTTTAAAATATTGCCCCTTTGATAGCCTCCTGACTAGGTGATTAGAGTGTGTGTATAGTGTGCGTGTGCGTGTGTGTGTGTGTGTGTGTGTGAGAGAGAGAGAGAGAGAGAGAGAGAGAGAGAGAGAGAGATTCCTTGCACACACCAGTATGCCCCCAAACAGAAGGGAACTCTTCATAATGCTTCCTTAGAAGTTATAAAATCAATGTCAACTTTGTTTTACTGTTGTACTACAAAATACTAGTGGTTTTTATGCAAAAACTAACTAACTAACTTACTCTATATTCGAAGACCATTTGAAACCATGGAGATTATGCACCCTGTTTTCATTATTTCTAAACTTCTACAGTATAGCAACTTCTAAAATTCAGGAGTTTACCAATAGAATAGAGCAAAGATATTCCAATTTCAATATTTATAAGCATTTTTGTAATCATTTGCTTGCCAATAGGTGTTGTTTTCAGTCCAAATTCAAGATATATATTTTGCATTATCTAACAGCTATATTTTATCATTTGTTTTTCTGGGTACAGGAAGTTGCTTAAGTTGCTATTGACTCTTTGCCAAGTAACCTTTAAACCAAGACATGCACATAATTTCCTTATTAATTAAAAATATTAACTTCATCAATCTTAGTTCATGACCAAATCCAAAGCTTCCAGGCATAATCCTTATGAGGAATAAATTACACAGCTGAAGGAATTCAAATTCTAATTTATATTGCCTTGAATAACAACTCATATGTTATAAAGAACAATGAGTCCACCAAAGTAATCTATATGGGAAGTGACTCGCAAAAAAAAAAAGGTTAACAGATGTGAGCTGTATCAGCTTGCTTAAAGACATGTGATGATGAAAGAACCAAACATTCCACCTCTTATTATCTGAGGTTGAAATTGGAAAATGTTATCAGAGAATGTTAGTAATCATAACAAAATCCAAATGACTGAAAATTTGATTACTTCGTTATTATATCATTCAGCTCTTATGGGAATAGTTAATATAAGTGTATACATAATATATTAATAGCATAAATAGATTAAATCAGGTTCTCAATGTCTGTTGGCTATTCTACCTAAAATTTTGAGAATATAGAAATAAACAATTTCAGTTCTATTAATCAGAAAAAATGTTTAAAAACTGAGGTTGCATGTGAACAAATCCAAACTGACCATTATTTTAAAGTAAATATCTACCACATATGCATATATTATAAATAATTTTTTTAAATTTTTTATTTAGAAATAATTGTAGATTTCTAGGAAGTTACAAAGACAGTCTAGAGAGATCCCATGTGCCTTTTAGCCAGTTTCCCTAAAGGTTACCAACATTAACATAATTATAGTACAATATCAAAACCAGGAAATGGACATTGGTATAGTTCTATGTTACATTAACACATATAAAGTCTTGTAACCACCACTGCAATCAGGATATAAAGCTATTATAAATGCTTTCATTTATTTTTTTTAGATACAAAAATGCATTATAATTTCAGCTAGAAGGTCCTATACTACTTATTCTACATAATGATAAATAATTATTGAAATTTACCAATATCTAGGAAATTATTATTTAGGAAAACTAGATATATAAAGGCCAGAGTGAAATTCTCGCAACACATACAAGGTATACTTCAATTAAACTCATTTTCTGCACAGATCGGACAACTCTATCATTCAACAGTCAGCTCTCCCCAATATGAGGATTAAAAAAAAATCTTTAGCATGCAATTCACCAAAGACAACTTGCTAATACTATTACTCCAAAACTCTGTTTACCAGCAAAAGTTCCCAGATATACATACACAGACACAGACACACACCTACTTTCCCAGGCAGAACAGAACACTTCACGAGTGTCCTTAAATCACTAATGAGCTTACCATAACAAAAGAGTACATAAATAAACATACGTACAAAAACCAATGAAATAAATCAGCCAAATTCTTTCGAGCCAAATCTACTGTGGAGCGAGTTTCTTATTTTCCCTAACAAGTAAATATAAACCAAATCGTTATAAATTCCACTTTGAGTCAGCTCACAGTAAAGAAAAGATGTTCGATCCCTCTCTCTGTCACACATACACACACACACACATGCACACACACATCAAATCTAGACATCAGTCTTACCTTGGCCATCTGTGCCTGCACGCCATTTGCCTTGAGAGATGCTACCGCTTTCTGTGCAGCTGCGGGACTGTCAAAATCTACGAAACCATAACCTGTGAAAATACAAAACCCCTTGTTAGTGCTCAAAAAAGCTGAGTCTCTATCATACTGGTGAAATGCAGCTTTAGGGTCAGACTTGCATTAATTTCCTCTGAGACGTGACCTGTTGAGGGTGTGGAACCTGTGGCCTCAGGGTCCCATGTGGCCCACCAGATCCCCAATTCCAGCCCCTCAACCAAATCCAAATTTTACAGAACAAATCCTAGGATTTGTTCTGTGATGTGTGGATTTAGTCTAAAGGATCCGGAGGCCACATACGGCCCCAGGGCCACAGGTTTCCTATCCCATTACTTTCTTCAATAGATTTTCTACAAAAGCAAGGAGCACAAAAAGCTGGAAAATATAGAAAGTCTAACTCTAAGTTAATTTTTAAAACCTCAAAACATTGATATTAACAAAGACCATGATAAGAACTTGCATAAGGTTATCAACTGCAACAGTGCCTGGCACAGAGTAGGCATTCAATAAATATGTTGCCTGCTTCGATAAATAAAGGCTGTGAATGAGAGTTAGAATTTAAACCTAGATCCATTTCATTACTATGTTCCTCCATTATAAGACCTTGTCTCTTTCAATGACAATTTCTTAATTTTTTTTTTAATTTAATTTTATTTTTTGAGACAGAGGCTCACTCTGTTCCCTGGGCTAGAGTGCCATGGCATCAGCCTACCTCACAGCAACCTCAAACTGCTGTGCTCAAGCAATCCTCCTGCCTCAGCCTCCTGGGTAGCTGGAACTACAGGCATGCACCACTATGCCCAGCTAATTTTTTCTATATATTTTTTAGTTGGCCAATTAATTTCTTTCTATTTTTAGTAGAGACGGAGTCTCGCTCTTGCTTAGGCTAGTCTCAAACTCCTGAGCTCAAGCAGTCCTCCCACCTCCGCTTCCGAGAGTGCTAGGATTACAGGCTTGAGCCACCAGGCCAGGCCCTCAATGACAATTTCTTAACTAAACCATTGTGATTCTTAAGTGATCAGTGATAAAGAGTGATTAGATAGATAAATATTCAAGTTTCTTTTAAAACAATAAGAAAAAAAAAACCTCCATCACTTATTTATTACTAGGGTACCATCTGAAAAGAGCATAAGAGTTGTCTGTACTGTGCTGACTGTGTGCTTATGTGGATGTGTATATACGGTGAAGCCAAAGAAATAGCCAGGAAAACAGAATCAATGAAAAGGCAATTTTGCATGCTCTTAAGCTAGCTGATATCAGTCCAGGGCTTAGCCTAACAGCAATGTCAACTGCAAGGAATATTTCATAGTATAAATGCTCAAGAACGCGTATGAGGGCAGCTCTGTTTGGCATGCCTAAAAAGCCTACCATATGTATCCTCCACCTCTTCTCATCTGTCAGGTAGGGATTTGTCTGTACTTTCACACTTGTCTCATTTAGAAGTTTCAAGGTGAGCCACTGAAGCAAACCTACTAACCATGTACTGTGGCCCTGCCCTCCCGCCCCAAAATAACCAAAGAAGAGTGCAAGGGAATTCAATTACCAAGTTGTTTCTTTTAATTAACTTTTTAATTTTCTCCCCTCGAATCTCGTCTTCTTTTTCTCCCTCCCAGCATGTTATCCTAAAATGAACTTGTTACACAGCAGTGTACCGTAAAATGCTCTTGAAAAGCTGAGCAGAGAAGCTGTGAAGTTTGTATTTCTAATCCAAGAGGAAGTCTGTGCTGTAAGTACTGCTAATTCTTCTCTTCCCACAAAATTCAAACTATGTGGGTAATATGAGTATTACCACCCACTAGGATGAGTAAAATAGGGGGAAAAGGCAGAAAGAAAAGGCAGAAATAGTTAAGAAGTGGAATCAGGGAAAGACGAAAGCAAAACTAAAATTTGGACATTGTCGCCCATATGCCAGTAGCTGTGCTGGGTAGTTGACACACTGACTACTGGTGAAGCCAAAATAACTCCCTGCACTACTGGCCTCATGCACATTCTACACATAGAGAAACTGTGACCTAAAATCACAAGCCACTCAGTGGGCAGATACAGGATTAGAAGCCAAGTCTGCATATGCTCTTTCAATTACACCATACAATGAAATGCTTTAAAATCCCATTTCATAAACTATGGTAGCCTCCGAAGTGCACCCGGCAGAGGCTCAATTCTTGAAAATTCCTTAAATTTGGAAGTCAAGACAGGGAATACAACAGTTCTACAAGAGGATTCGATCAAGCTCATTTAATTAGTATATCTGTTAATGGCGTGGTTGAGTTCTACTGAGAACTTTCTGGATGAGGTTTGGGCAAGCATCTCCTTCCACCTAATGCTTTCGTCAATTTTCATCATTCATTCCTAGGCTCCTTTGTTCATTCAGTAATGAAATTCTATGTCAAGTACTGTGGGAAGCACAGGGAATATAATGGTGGGAAAAAAGTAGCCCCAGTTTCCACTCTGAAGCAACTTAAAGTTGAGTTGGGAATGGACAAGAACCAAATAACCACATAAATGAACCTGGAATTACAGAATGGCATGTCTTCTTTGAAAGAAAATGGGAGCATATGATATAGACTCTAACTATTGATTGTTCTTTATTGGATGTTTTAAGGAAGCAGAGGCATGAAATGATCTGCATTTTTATTAATAAAATTATCACCGTAGTTGGAGATTGAATTGTTGTGGGAGAGGTGAACAGACAGAATGGGAACAGCTAGATGGCTTAGGGGGTCCCGAAGCAGTCCAGAGGAATGGCAGCTGGCAGGAAACGGATGGGGTGAAATGGAGGGCGTGAATTATATTTTGAAGGCTGAATTAACGGGACTTGGTGATGGATTGATTGGGTTGAGAGTGAGGGAGATATAGCCGAGTATTACTACTGGGAATTTGTTGCCACAAGCCACTAGGTGAGTGGAGATGTGATTTACTGAAATGAGAAGACTGTAGGAGGATCCAACAGGGGAGAGGGAAAATTAAAATATTAGTATGAGACATGTTGAGTCTGAAATGCCTGTGAGACATCTAAGTAGAAATGTCAAGCAGCAGTTGGATATATTAGGCTGGTGCTCAGAAAAAGGGATGGAATTGGAAATACAAAGTAGGAGAGCAACAGCATAAAGATGTTATTTACAGAGATAGCAATAGACCAAAATGCCTAAGAGTAAGTATTAAAAGGGCCCAGGTTTGAAACTTGAATAACTTCAGCATTTAGCATGAGATAAGAAAATGAGATTGCAAAGAAGGCTGAAGGAAAATCAGAGGAAGAAGGAAATGCAAAGGAAATTAGATGTCTTAAAGCCAAGCTTTCCCCAAGAAGGAGGGAGAAATCAGCTGTGTGAAATGCTAAAGTGTGGGCAAGGAGAGAGCTTGAAGATGTCTAGTGTGTTTAGAAACATGGGTGTTGTTATCATGACTTGCTCCAGGCAAGTGGTGCTGACTGCAGCCTGCTAGAGTAGTTAAAGAGTAGGGGAAAGATGAGCAGGAGGGGTTGCAGGCCTCTTTGCAGTTATCTTGGCCGCAAAGGAGAATTAAGAGACAGATTTAGCTACCAAGGGATAAGAGGTCAACCCAGTTGACTTTGCTTGCTTGCTTTAAGGCAGGAGATGCTAAACCTGTGTGTGTGTGTGTGTGTGTGTGTACACGCGCACATATGTATATTCCTTACCTGATTCTAGCATGAAGCTGGGGTAGAGAAATACTGAGTACTCATTTAACTTATTCAATAGATATTTATTGACCGCCTTCTATAGGACAGTTATTGTTCTTTGCAGTTTTTAATATTGATAGGAAAGATGAAGCAGAAAATGAGATTAAAGCTTCAAAAGGACAAGGGGATAATTTATAGAATAATATTTCTGAGTAAGTGAAGGGGTAGAGGGATATAGAACACATCTGACATATCTGAAAGTGCTGCCCCTTTACTGAAACAGAGATCCTCGCCTTTGACCATTGTAATTGGATAGAAGAAAAAAAGAGCACTTTCGGTGAACAGTTGTTATTTCTTCGTACATCCCCAGATACTGGGATTATAGACTGTAGCTAACATATAGCCTATGCTTAATTGGTCTTTTTCAAAATATATTGAAAACATATTTAAAAGATACCAACTTACTTCATGGCACTACCATGGGAATTAATGGATAAAAATATTTATTAACAGGTTCTGACTATAAAGAACAATATAAATGCTAGGTGGTCAAAGTTCTGTTTCAGCCATGCTGCCGCCCAGCAAGGCAGCCCAGATTTTCACGACTCTCACCATTTTCTCTAGTGTGGCTCCTTCTCTCCCGATTCCTCCCTTTCCTTCCACCCCCACATGTTACACAGGATATTACAAAATCAAGATGCTGACCTCCAGGGCTGAACTCCAATCCAAACAGAGGACATTTCTGTGAAGGCATGAGACACCCCAAGCTTTCTGTGAATCAGGGAAGTTATAGCTAAACTTGGTGAAAAGTGTGCTTATAAAGAGTCATCATTCCAGCAAGGAGAGAGAGCGGCCACTTTGTACCGAACAACTGTTCTCATGGCTCCACGCCAATAGAGGAGCAAAGATTCCATAAACAAAATTATACATAAACGACAAGCTACCAAATCTGAAATATTTCACTGAGTTATGTGTTTTTCATACATACCTACTTTCACTAGTTAGAATGAAAGTTGAGGTAAAAATGCCTCAAGCAATTCTGAAAAATACGCCCCTTCTAGAAATAACCATTGCATCCCTGAGTTTTACGTGACAGTAGATACTACATCACAATCAGAAGAAAACAAAATGAAATATGAGACTGCCCCTGAAGAATAATGATGCATTTACTAAGGAATAAAGCCACTTTAATTTGGTCTGGTTTGGTTTCAATTTGCTTTCCTTAATGACAAATAATCAAGTCTGGGTACAGCAACCTCTGTACCTACATCTGGTGAGGGGAAGGGTAGGGAGATTAGTTCAGCTCCAGCTAATAATGCTTTATGGTAACTGCTAAAAATCCTCAACAAAACAGCCGCTAATGCTAACCATCGGAAACTCTGGCCCCAGTGGCTGTAA